AGAGTTGGGGAAAACACTAGCAAAATACCTCAGGGTAAGTGATTCTCTGGCATCATTTATAACCCCAGATACTGGCAAAGCCTGTTCCAGTACTTGTCAACAAAAGCATTTGTTTTCCTTGTTGGCTGCTGTGTCCTTGGTTTGTGCTAAGGCTGCTTTATTTCCTGATAAAGTCAAGAATGTTGTGAAATCCTGGTGATTCTGTAAGTACAGTATAATTTCTGTGTGTGTGTGTGTGTGTGTGTGTGTGTGTGTGTTCTGTGTGTAGTGGTGGTAATCCCGGTAGTCAAATTCAGGTATTAGTGTTAGATGTGAGACACCTATGTGGCAAAAAGAAATGGAGACTTAGTTGCCACATTTTGTTAATACTAACTCTGAAATGTTTTCATATTCTCTTTTTTGAAAACTGACATCTGATTAAGGAAAGCAAGCAGCTCTCAAACCATTGGAGAGAGAACAAAGATCTCCATAACCCATCTCTAGTATTTTTTTTATTTTGCATCTTGTGTTTAGTTCTTCCTTCTTTTAAATTTTCATAGGAGTCAGACCCAGGATTCCTTGTCAAAGGACACGAGCATTCATATAGTTCTTTATATATGATGTATATGTATATATATTGAGTTGCTTTTTTAAATGACTGAATTGGAAAAAAACAAGATGTACAGAACAGTATCTATAGTTATGTTACCATTTGTGTAAAAAGAAATGGGTAAGAATATTCATGCATATTTGCATGTATATACATTAGCATGTGTATGCATATATCTTATATGTGTATAATCATTTATGCGTAAAACATCTGGAAGGATATACAAGAAATTGATTGCCTCTGGAGTGGGGTATTGAGTGACTGGGGATAGAGGTGTTAGAAAGACTTTTCACTGTATACCCTTTTGTACCTTTTGAATTTTGAATGGTGTGACTGTAACATTATGAAAATCATTTTTTAAAAAAGCCATTAGCAAGGGGTGAAAATACCCATTGTTTTCTTATTTGCACTCCCACCCCCTTGGTTCAGGCCTCATCCTCTTTCATCTGGATCTTCAGTAGGGGACACTTGGTCTCCCTGCCCGGTCAGTTTCTGACCTCTCCAAACCATCTTTTCCCTTGCCACCAGAGAGAGCACAGGTTAAATCACATCTTTGTCCTCCTCTAAAATTTTTAGTGGCATCCCAAGGTGCACAGAATGGAGTTCAGACTATTCAGCTTAGCATTCAAAGTCTTCTATCATCTGGTTTCAAACTGCCTTTGTGGTCTCACCTTCTGCATGCTATCTTTGTATATATCCTCTCTTCATTACCATTTCCTTTTCAACTAACTCTTTCCCCCCCAAAAAGGAAAAAAAATATTTTAAAATTTCTATATTTGTTCACATTTTCTTTTTTCTTTTTTAGCCTGAAAGACCCTGTCTGTTTGCAGTTAAAATTGAATTTTATTTTCAAGGCCTATTCTGAACGTTACTTTCTCCTTCCTACTGCAGCCTCATTCCACCTGTTCTTAGAATGAACCACTCTTTTTTGAATCCCGTAGTATTTCCCGTACCATTGTTTGGCACTCATGTTCTAGTGAGTTGACTTGTCAGTGTCTTTATATTCTATTTTTAGACTTTCTTGTGTTGATTCCTCTTTTCAATTGCAGTAGTCTTCCTTACATTGTGCCTTTCCCCACTCCTGCCTATTCTTAACTCTGTGGTTTTCTGATTTTGGTAAAACATGTCAGATTTTGAAGAACACTGAAGAACAAAGAGCAAAAGAAGTAGTTGACAAGAATTGGTAGAATCCACTCACTCTTAGTATTAATACTATACAGTTCATTTTTTCTTTATCCTATATTCGCATACCTATTGTTTTGAAATGTCAAAGATTATTTGGTCTTCATTTTATAGATGTGTGATATATCTAGAAGCTTGGGAGGAAAATGGAGTTGTTGAAGGACTCAGTGAGTTAGTGGTAGGGCCAGGACTTAAACTTAGGACCGTTTTGGGAATGACATTTATAGCATGTAGAGAGAACATGACTTTATTTTGAGGTGATACTTGTTAGTGTTTTTGGTAGTACAAGCTAGTAAAAATGTGTCTACCTTGGGCTACTTCTTGTGCAGGCTAATAAAGCATTGGCTGTGATAGCCTCTGTGGTATGTTTTAGAATATGACAAAAGAAACATATTTAATTCTTTCCTTGTTGAAAGAGCTGGTTGCTTGGTTTAGTCAGATTCACAAATGAGAATATTTGAAATGCTTAACCAAAAAGCAGACCAATAGTCCTTTGCTTTGATCCTTTCCATCTCTGTCTTGTTTCCCAGAAGAACCACTTCTAACTCTTAGCTATTTATTGTGGTATTTCCCTTCATATTTCTATACTGCTATTTCTAGACATTATTGACTTCCTCTGATAGTAGTTGAGGACTTCCTTATACTTCTTCCTCCTTCCTTCTCCCTCCATTCCTCTCAGTGTGTTTATCACTGTTATTAAATTAATATTTGTATCTATATTAGTATGACTATAAATACTGTTTATTTTGAGCCAAGTCATGTATTATATTTCCTGTTTTTGTACAACAAGAATACCTTTTCATAACTTACTTTCTCATAGAGCTAAAAATCACCTAACTTTCCATTTACTTAGCAATTTGTATACCTAATACCAATTCATTAATTTAACAAATATTTACTGAATGCCTACTGTGTGCCATTATTCTTGGTGCTTGGGATACAACAGTGAACAAACTAGACAAAGATTCCTTCCTTTTTTGGGAGATAGACAATAAACATAATAAAGAAGTAAAATACATAGTGTGTTAGAAAGTGATAGGTGCCAATGGGGAATAAAGAGCCACGTATGGGGGGGTTGGGAATATAGGTGCAGGCATGGGTTGCATGGGTAATACTAAATAGGATGATAAGAGTAGATCTCATTGAGAAGGTGACATATGAGCAAAGATTCATACTCCTCCCAGTGTTACTTTTCATATAGCCAAATGCCTTGGATAATTTAACATTCCATTTTTCCCAGTGGCTTTCCTTCTTGGAGCCCTTTGCTCCCTGCCAGGACCATGAACTCTAGAGGCCTACAGCACAGTTGTTGTCCTGGGATTTCTCTTGGCCACTTTCCTGGGTTGGATCATCTGATTCCTGGATCTCACGTCTTCCTCTGACTTGGTTCATGCCCTCTTTTTGATGGAGTAAATTTTCCTATAGCTTCCTGAGAAGGCACATGATGAGAGAAAAAAGTATTGAGAACATGGATATCTCAAAGTACTTTTATTTTATTTATTTTTTAAAAGATTTATCCATTTTAGAGAGTGAGCATGCATGAGCAGGGGGAGGTACAGAAGGAGAGGGAGAGAAGCAGCCTCCGCGCTGGCCACAGGACTTGATCCCGTGACCCTGAGACCATGACCTGAGCTGAAACCAAGAGTCGGATGCCCAAATGAGTAAGCCATCCAGTCACCCCTCAAAGTATTTTTAACCTACTCTTACAATTGATTGAAAGTTTGGCTCAGTTTAGAAATCTGGGCTGGAACTCATCTTAGAATTTTCAAGGTCTTACGGCATTGTTTTCAAGCTTTCAGTGTTTCTGTTGAGGAAGCATTGATGCTTGTGATTCATAATTCTTTATAGGTGACCTTTTATTTTTCTCTCTGAAAACTTTTAGGATTTTCTCTTTATTCTGATGTTCTATAATTTTATGATGATGGGCCAGGTCCTGATGTGGGTTTTTTTTTTTTTAATTTGTTTTAATATATTGTGCTTGGCATTTAGTGATCTCTTGTATTCTTCAATTCTGGGAAAATTTCTGATGTTACTACTTTGATATTTGACTGAAGTAGCTAAATTGATCAGCTGCAACCCAAAGAGGAGAGCTTTGGTTGTTCATGTTTGATAATGCCATAGTACATAAAACCCTTAAAATAATGAGGTATTTCTTTGATAGGCAGGTATTATTATTTTCTTTGTGAAAATTAATCACATAAAAGCAGAATATATTTGCTTCTTTTTTTCCAGCTACTGGAACATAGAACAAATACCTGTGATGGAAGGTCATGTTTTTCTCGTTCATTTCACTTTCTAAGGTTTGGTAGTCTGTCCTGCACCCCCGCCCTCCCCTCCCCGCCCAGCTCCCCACTATTGGAGGTGGAAAGCCTCTAGGAGTTTACAGGTGTCATCTTCTCACTCTCAGGTCTTGGTCACCTCGGCTGCCCTTTCACCTGTCTTCGTCTGTCTTGTATTTCTTCTCTTACGTATTATATGTTTCGTTGAGATAAAAGTCACATAACAAAATTCACCATTTTAACCATTTTAAAGTTTACGGTGCAGGGACGCCTGGGTGGCTCAGTCGTTAAGCGTCTGCCTTCAGCTCAGGTCATGATCTCAGGGTCCTGGGATCGAGCCCTGCATTGGGCTCCCTGCTCAGCGGGGAACCTGCTTCTCCCTCTCTGTCTGCCTGCTGCTCCCCCTGCTTGTCCTCGTGCTCTCTCTCTTTCTCTCTCTGTCAAATAAATAAAATCTTAAAAAAAAATCTTTAAAAAAAATAAAGTTTACAGTGCAGTGTCATTTAGTATATTTACAATATTGTATGGCCATTGCCACAGTCTAATTCCAGGACATTTTCATTGCCCCCCCAAGAGAAATCCCATATATGTTTAAGCAGTTACTCTCATTTCTCCTTCTTCCCGGTTCCTGGCAACTATGCCTCTGCTTTCTATCACTGTGGATTTGCCTATTGTGGACATTTCATGTAAAAGGGGTCATACAATCTGTGGCCTTTGGTATTTCGCTTCTCTAACTTACAATGTTTTCAAGGTTTGTCCATGTTGTAGCATGTATCAGTATATTAAATCAGGCTATGAGGATTTTTTACTATCCAGAGAAAAGTCCTGCGTTTATTATCTTTATTATGATTTTGATACTCGCCTTTAATTTACCTTTTCACAAGCATTTTTTGGTTACAAGATGATGTTGAATAATTTTAATTTTTAAGTATACATTATTTATTTTTTAGTATGCCAGTACTGAGGTTGATGGAGAACATTACATGACCCCAGAAGACTTTGTCCAGCGCTATCTGGGACTGTATAATGATCCAAATAGCAATCCGAAGATTGTGCAGCTCTTGGCAGGAGTAGCTGATCAAACCAAGGATGGGTAAGAACCTTTATACATTTTTTGAAAATGAATGTTCCTCAATACCTTACTAGAAAATAGTAAACTCTAAGTTTACCTATAACCATCTGGAATTTTAATATTAATAAACCATATCTTTTCTTAGAAGTTTATAAAAAGTGTTACTTGCTGCCATTATCAAGGATTTGGCATAATTAGCATTTCTTTCTTGCTTGCTTTTTTGGGGGGGGAAGAAAACTGCACGTATAAAACCATATTTTATATTGAATAATCTGAACAGAATGGTTTTCAGATAACAGTGTATTTCTTTCACTCATACAACAAATATTGAATACCTTTTATGTTTTAGGCAATGTTCTAAGGCCTAGAATTGCATGAGTGAATAAACTAATAAATGTAAAAGCAATATACAAATTTAAAAGTAAACTATAGCATGTTAGGTTATAAGTGCTATGAAGAAAAATAAATCAGGGAAGAATTTAGAGAGTGGTATTTATTCATTTATTTGTCTCCTCATTTATTTGACAAACGTTTATTGAACAACCACCATTAGCCAGGCACTGTTGGGCCTTAGTAATACAAGCATAAGTAAAATGGGGTTCTTGGCCTTAAGAAGAAATTCATGGCCTAGTGAGAAAGAGGATGAGTAAACAAAGAAGATAATACTTTGGGAATAAGGTGCTATAATAAAAGTATGTAAAAGATACAAAGGACACCCAAGAAAGCATGGTTAACTCTGTTTTAGGTGATCTAGACAGCATTGTAGAAGAGGCGATACTTGAGTGAAACCTGGCAAGATGAACAGGAGATTGCTGGTGGTTGGATAGGAGGGAGGAGAATTCTAGGAAAGGGAACAGCAGTGGCATGAAACGTCCAGGGCAGTGTGCATGTGTGTGCCTGCATGTGTGTGTTTTGGGGAGTGACATTGGGGAAGTTGTGTTAGGGGTACCTTGGCGTGGCTGTGGTGTTGCTTTGTTGCTCCTGGAGTTGTGGTTGGAGTGGAGCTGGGGACCTTGTGTGCTAAGTTTTGACTGTATCCTGAAGGCTCGTGACTTAGTCTTGGAAGTATTTTTAGCCTGGCAGTGTGTGGGTGTGTGCAGACACAGAAATAGCAAGATGCATCTTACTAGAGTGTCAGTTTACTCAGGGGAAAAAGCACACCATTTTTTTATTAAAATCAAATATGATTGTATTATGGAGCAAATGAATTATTTTTGTGAATTATAAGGAGAATTTTGTCGTGCTTTGTGAGTTCCAAGCTACATCCTCAGGCCTTCAAAGGCCCAGGTTCTTTCTCCTACTTATAGAGGTAGTTGTGTGAAAAACTAGGCAATGAGGAGTTGTTAAAAGTTATTTCTATTACCAAAGATATGATCAGATTTTAGAAAAATGGTAGGTTGGAATAGGGCAAGACTTGCATGCAGTGAAATCCATTTAGGAAACTACTATAGTAGTTAAACTAGAAATGTTGGTATCTAAGTTGTTTGAGTCCAGCGTTAGTATTGTATTTTCCCACAGAATCTAGTACAGTGCATGAAATCTATGAGTATTTTGTATCTTAGATAAATATTTTATATAATTTATCAATAGTAGATATTGGGGAACTTGTATACATTTTGTGACTGGTCTCTAAAAAAGTCAAATCAGGGGCTCCTGGCTGGCTCAGTTGGTAGAGCATTAGACTCTTGATTTCAGAGTTGTGAGTTCAAGCCCCACATTGGGTGTAGAGATTAAATAAATAAATAAAGTTTTAAAATTTAATCAAATCAGCTGATAAGTTACTATGGACTATTCAGTCATTGGATTTCTCAATAGTGATTAGGCAGTAATACATATGAAAATCAATTATTTTTAATCAGAATTCATTCTTCAAAAATTTTAAAGGTAACATATACATTTAGATCTTTTAGAAACTATGAGAGCATTTATTGTCATTAATTTGGCCTGAGACCTGCTTTCAGAGTACTCATATCTTTTCAGATGCTTCTTTTGTGACCATTTGCTCTCGTCCATCTCAGTAAGTGTATTTTTTTTGAAGCTTCATGTGGTTCTCCCAGACTCAGGTGCATTGTTAATGGGGTTGAGTGGAATCAAGGGTTTAAGTTGCCAGAGTAGATCAAAGATGGGTTTTGGCTAGTGAAGTATCTAATAATGTTGATAATGTTCACTTAAAAACAAACCTGTTTCTCTTTGTAAAAGGTAAATCTTTTTTTTCCCCTCCTCCTCAATGGTAAATCTTTTCTATTTCAGATTTTAAGAACTTTTTAAGCTTACTTTTTTCCTCTCTTTGGAATGAGTCAGATTGGGATTGGATAGGAAATCTGATTCAAAGAGTTCAGAAAAATTAAATTAGTTTATGAAACATATACGTTGTTTCTAAAAGCAGAGAAAGGTGGAATTTTCTAGAAGCACAGCAATTCTTTTTTTTTAAGGGGGGTAGGAGCAGAGGGAGAGGGAGAAAGAGAATCTTAAGCAGGCTCCACACCCAGTGTGGAGCCCAATGCGGGGCTTGGTCTCACAACCCTAAGATCATGATCTGAGCCGGAATCAAGAGTTGGACACTTACCCAACTGAGCCACCCAGGCACCCTGAAACACAGCAATTCTTAACCTCCTATTCATGGCTTGTCTTCAGGGGTTCCTGAACTTGCTGAAATATAATGCTAAAAGAATTTGTACCTGCATTTTTCTGGGGAGAAATTCCAGGTTTTCAGGAGGGGGGTTTATGAATTCAAAAAAGGTTAAGTATTCTTGTTAACATTTCTTTAATACTTGTAATTCAAGAGAATCAAAGCTTTGATATTGTTTAATTTATTCCAAGTAGTCAACCCTTGCTCGTTTAACATTTAAGGAAAATGAGACCTAGAGAGGTTGATTGATTTGCCCAATAACACCAAATTCTCTTTTTAGTCCATTTTTCTTCTTATAATCATTTTTTTTTTTTTAATGTTCTCCCCAGGGCGCCTGGGTGGCTCAGCGACCGCCTTCGGCTCAGGTCATGATCCCGGAGTCCCGGGATCGAGTCCCGCATCGGGCTCCCTGCTCGGCAGGGAGTCTGCTTCTCCCTCTGACCTTATCCCCTCTCGTGTGCTCTCTCTCTCTCAATATCTCTTTCAAATAAATAAATAAAAATCTTAAAAAAAAAAAAAAATGTTCTCCCCACCACCATTCCTTTACCCACTCCTTTATCCAGAGCAGTGATGAAAGAATAGAATAGTGCAGTTGGTACATTTTTTTTAAAGCCCTGAGAGATATTCATTGGTTTTACTGTAGTTTTTTTTTCTTAAGATTTATTTATTTGAGAGAGCAGGAGAGAGAGAGCATGAGTGGGATGAGGGGCAGAGGGAGAGGCAAACTCCCTGCTGAGCAAGGACCCCAATGCAGGGCTTCATCCTGGGACTCAGGGATCATGACCTGAGCCGAAGGCAGATACTTACCAACTGAGCCACACAGGCACCCCTCTATTGTAGTTTTTCAATGAGAATCTTATAGGTACAGATAATTTGAAATAGCATCACATAATATTGTTTATAATTACCCAAGACCCAATCTCAATTAATAGAACTAGTATAGGCAGGCCTAAGTGATTTAGTTAATAAGTATGTGGGAAAAGCAGGTTTAGGAGTAGTGAATACCATACCTTTTTGTGTTCTGGACTCCCCCACCCCCTGCTCCATGTTTTCTTAGCATGTAAACTGCCCCTTCTCCTCTTCCCCATTCCCTTTCCTCCAATAGATAGTAAAATAAGCAGGAGTGTTTTGATATAGGTGTTTGCTGTGCAAAGCCACGTAGAAGCAACATTTTATGGTATAAATAGCATGATGGGTTGTCTAAAAGTAAAGGCCATTAGTCAAGTATTTGTGAGACTGTGGCTTAAACTTTGAAGATGTGGTTATATAATGAAAAGCAAAATGATTTTATGCATTAAATGCAGATTTTGGGAACTATTATTGTGCAATCTGATCTTAAATGTTTAGACAGTTGCTTGTTTGAAACTAACTTCTAGAATTGTAGTTTTTATATTTAGCTCTAGTCAGAATTTCATCTGGAGGCTCTGTTCTATAATGTGTAAAACTTATTTTCTCCCAGTTTTTCACAACTGTTTTCCTTTAATGTTCTACATACATATAAAAATATACTTCTTAAAAGATTGATTTTAGAGACAGAGAGAGAGAGAGAACCAGGCGGCCGGGAGGGTGGAGGTGGTGAGGAACAGAGGGAGAGGGAGAGAGAAAGCCAAGCCGACTCCCCCCTGAGTATGGAGCCAGATGCCGGGCTCTGTGTCAGCACCTGAGATCATGACCTGAGCCAAAACGAGTCGGATGCTTAACTGACTGTACCACCTGGTGCCCCAAAAGGAAAGTATTCTTCATGCATATAGAAAAATCTTTCATACAGAAATCTCGGTTGTTCTAAAAATTGCAAAATTAACATATTAATATTAAAATTTTATTAGTTTCCACTTGGTAAATTTAAAAGGAACTTTGTAGAAAAATTTAAAACATGCAATTCATAAAATACGTTATTTCAGAGTTATAAAATGAATATATGTTCTTTCTAAAAAGTCAAGCAGGAGGTATGGTAAAAATTGAAGGTGCCACCTCATCCTCATTAAAAGAAAACAAACCATTTATTAAAGTATGAACTAAGCAATGGTTTCTTCACCCCAGAGTTAGTGGCTTGTGGTTTGCATTTGTTCTGCTTAAGTCTTGGTCAGGACCTTCCAACAATAGGGAATTCATTGCAGGATATGGGGAAAAGAGCCTTAAAAATTATTCTGGAACATGTTTGCTTTATGTTCACAGATAAACAGGCTTTTCTTGCTTTATGCAAAGTATAGTTACATTATCATGTGGTATAAAATGCCTGTGGGCTAAAAATAGATAAGGGGCATATCAGAGAGACGTTGTCCATGCCCCCCACTCCCTACTTCTTCCCAGTATTTTATAATGAAAATTCATTTATATACTTACCATAGTCTACCATTAACATTTTTCTGTGCTTCCTTTTTCATATATCTAT